GCACAGGGCTGGGGTAACCCTGTCCCTCCCGTGATGCTGCTCTGTTGGTCATCAGCCATTAGTGACACCACTCAGGAAACTGCTGAAGTTTCAGCTTTACAGCCCCTCTGTTCTTCCTGCCACAAATCCAGTGTGACTGGGTGGGATGGCTGTTTTCTGGTGGAGAGCAGCAGATGATGACAGCAGGCATTAGTTAAATTGATTTTTATGCTTTTGGTTGCACTTCACACAACATATTCCACTTGCAAAGGCTAAAACCTGGCTGATAAATACTTCATTAAGCAGTTAATCACATCACTAGAGATAAAATCACCTGGCCATAAACAAGCCTAGAAACGAGGCAATGCATTCCACTGATACTCACAGAGTGATCTATTACATATTTATCATCTGCTTTGCCTAATCATTTATTAAATCCTTCTGAGAGGATGTACAGGCCAAGGAATTTGAGCTGTGCCTTGCACTGCCAGCCCTTGGGAGGGGAGGCAGCCCATGCTGATAACCCCAGACCCACCAAGCTGCTCCTGCAGCAGCCAGAGCATGAGGAGACCTCTGCCTGGTGCCTAATCCTCTCCTGGACGAGGAAATCCATCCCATGAAATGGTTCTCTAAAACTTGGAATGAAGAAAATCCCTGTTTATCTGAGAGATGTTTGTTCCACATGCCCAGGTAGATCTCAGACTGCCCCAAAAACCACAGGAACCCCTGGGAAAGGACACGCAGAACTTGAATTCCTTACAAATATTCCACCTGTTCTAAATGCTTTCCATTCCACACGGAGTGTCTGAGCTGCCTGGGCAGGGACTGTTGTGCTCAGGTGGCTGCAGTCACAGTGGGAATGGGAAGGGAGCCCACCAGGAGGTGATGCTGTCTGATCCCAGCTGAGTCACACGTCCTGGAACAAACAGCATTTCTGCTTTAATGGAGAAAATAACCCTTTCCAAAGTGAAACCAACTGGAGTGTTTCCACTGAACTCACCAGAGCCAGGTTCACGAGACACTGATCTCATTACCCAGAGCTGGACAAAGCCTCAGGAGGCTCCTGGCTTTAGCAGCTTCTCATCTCTCTGGAGCTCTCTGGGTGATCTCTAGCTGATCATCTAAATGACAGTTGTGATTAGCTGCACTTTTCATCACCATTTCCACTCAGAGGCCATGCAGAACATTTCTTTCCAACCCTACATAAAAGATTGTGTCCAAAGCCAAGGAAAATGTTGATGCATTTGAATCAATCCAATCTGGTTTTAACCCAGTAGGTGAGATACTTCTGCTTTCCTCCATGTAGTAGCCAGGTATTTCATACCCAAGGAAAAAAGGCTCACCTCAGCTGGCTACCTCTGGGTTGAGTCTTTGCTGGCAACTAAATTTGTGCCACAGGAGCCATTAAAAACAAACAAAAAAAGGCACAAAAATTCCTGGCAATTCTGACATGCAGAAAACTTTTGGACCATTAGGAATCCCCCTCATTTCCATCAACACCACCTCTGCCATGCAAACAAGTGCTGTGTGGTGAAGTCTGCACAGCTCTAAGGCAGGGAGCAGAGGTTCCCTCATGGCTCCCAGCATGTGCTGTTATTTCAGAGCTCACAGCCTGATATTGGCAGCACAACCAGCCCTCCATGCTCACAGTCAGATGCTCACAGAGTTTGGGATTTCACATCAAAGCCACTGGTTTGGCCAGTGATAAAGTTTGGAACCGACCCCAAACTTCTCAGAATTTCACAGCTATTCCAGCCCTGCCCTGGGCTCCTCTCCCTCAGAGCTGCAGGGAGCAGCTCAGCACAGCCACCACGGCTCAGCACGGCCTGGATCAAATGAACATTTGGGTTTAAGTCGCTTCTTAAGGCTTTTTTTACCTTCAGAAATTTTTTCTGGTCCTTTGGGGTGCGGGCATCTCCATCCAGGAGGAAGAGCTGGGTGCCCTCAGCCCCCCATGCTGCAGATGGAGCTGGGGCTGTCCTGGGGCTGTCCTGGAGCAGGTGCCCTGGCTGCAGCTCCCAGGAACTCCTCCTCCTGGAGGCTTTCTCTGTGCACAGAGCTGCAGGAGAGAGGAGCCACAAACACAGCTGTTCCTGGACAAACAGGCTCCAGATCCAGTCCTGGTGTCACCAGGGGGGTCAGAGCTCAGCAGCAGCCATGCCCCTCACAGCCACCTCCTGTTGGAATATTTTCCTCTCTCCATAGGGCACCAAGTAACCTCTGGAGTGTGGTGTCTCTCGGCTTTGCATATTTGAGAGAGCTTTCTGTTCTGCTTTGAGCTATTTCATAGCATTGTTGGGCTCCTACCCAAAGAAATAAGGCCCTTTATGTTGTCCTTGGTTCAGGTTCTCTCTCTCACTCGAGCTTTTTAATTCCCATAAAAACCTAACATGTTCCTGCCAAAAGTATAATGCTAGGGCCATGAGTGGTGGTGTTTATAGAGGAACAACTCCATGGCCATAAAGTCTGAGAACAGCAATAGTATTTAGCACAGGGAGACAAGGGGAGTGGAAAAGTGTTCACTGAGCTTTGCTGGGGCACTCAGGGCAGCTGGCAAGTACTGGAGTCTTCCTAAAAATAGCAAAAATAACCTCAGAGAAATCAGTGATGATGAAGAAGCTGTTCCCAGTTGAGCTGCTCTGGTCAAGCTGTCTGGAGATGCCCTCAGACCCTGAGGTGACTGTGGTAGAATCCAGGCTGCTCCTCACTCCTGGCTGCAGTTTGCTGAGATCCTGCTCAGAGCCCTTGGATCTGGGATGTTTGCTTCTCAGTACCACTCATCATCAAACCAGGAGACTTCTGGGTGCCTTTTACCCTCAGATAAAGGTTCAAGAAAAGCTTTGGTTCCAGGAAATGACCCAATGTTGCTGATGCTGATTAGAGCCCAGTGGAGGAGCAGAGCCCCGTGTGCTGCCCTGGGTGACCTGGGGCCTTTCCTTCAGGGAAGGGCTGGCAGTTGGCAAGGAAGCTGAGCTACTGCACTATGGTGTCTTGAGAGAAAAATAAATGTAGGGACCAGACACTCCAAGAAATAATTTCACCTGATAATGGTGTCAAACAAAGATTTTGAGTCTGTCTTTGGCATCACCTGCTCTGGAAACCACCAGGAGCCACAGAGCTTCTGAGGCTGCATCTCCAACCTCATGGCAATAGGTGGGGGCTGGCCTGTGCTGTCACTCCAGAAAGCACTTCCCAAAATCCCAGTCTGTGTCAGATGGGGGGTCTGAGAGCCTGGAGTCTGTGCACAAAGCAGAGTTGGCACTGGGGGTGCTCTCACCAACAGCCACACTCTCCATCTCCAGGGATCCATCTCTAGCAATCCAGCTTCCAGAGGGTTTTACTTTCTGCAGGCATCTGGGATCCATTTCCAGGAGTAATTTCCCCTTCTTGCAGCTGCTTTTGCAGAGCTTTTTAAATACTAAAGAGTTTAGGGGCGAGTGTTTAGAGAGTCTCTGTGCATGTACACGTGTGTCAGTGTGAGTGCTGCAGAGCTGCCACCCTCAGTCTCTCCCAGGGCACTCCAAGCACCACAGCAAACCCACACAGTGTGGTAGTGGCTCCATCCCAACGTACCAGGAGCACAACTCAGTCCTAAAGAGACATTTTTACAATCTATAAACACATATAAACAGTGACTATAAAATATTTTCCATAATATAGCTGTGGGAATACATGACATTTAAAGCAACTTCCTGCATCTAGATTTATTCTGTGCCACGTCTTTTTCTGTTCATAAATCCACTTCTCTCCAAGCACTACAGAACTCTGTGTATGAAAGACAGAATGAATCTGTGGGAGATTTCAGATGAAGTTTCTAGGCTGAAAACATGACTGTACCTGGAATATCTGTGGGACTCTGGCCCCACCTGTGGCATCTCCTGATGTCTGTGATGGCACTTCTCACTTCCCAGCCCCCAGCCTCCACAGCATCCTTCTTTGATTGTCTGCTGATGCCTTCAGGTTTTGGCACAGCATCTGCTTAAACATGGATTGTGACCACAGTCTCCAGCAAAATGAGGTTTCAGGATGATCTTTCCTGAGACCAGCTTGCTCCAAGCCCCAGAGTCCAGCCTGGCCTTGGGCACTCCCAGGGATCCAGGGGCAGCCAGGGCCAAGGGCTTCCCCACCCTCACAGGAAAGGATTTCTTTCCAAAATGCCAGAATCTAGCTCTGCCCCCTGGCAGTGGAACTCCCTCTGATCCTGTCCCTGCAGATCCTTGACCAAAGCCCCTCTCCAGCTCTCTCAGAGCCCCTTCAGGCACTGAGATGCTGCTGCTTGACTCATGGCATATCCTGCACTCAAAATTCCCATTTCCAAATGCTGTTGATCAGTGTCTGGGTAAATCTGCTCAGCTCAGGCTGTGAAAGCTCCTGGCCCCTGCCCATCTCCCACCACATCTAACGCGTGTCCTGACCTTTTCCATGTGTGTCCTGGGCAGGTGAGCTGCAGAGTGCCAAGAGATGAGCAATATTTACTACCTGACACGCAGTGGGTGTTGCAATTCCTGGTCATAATTGTGTTTGAGAGTTATAATAGTGCAGAGAGAGCTTTACCTGGGCTCCCTTCCCGCCTCCTGTGGGTTCCAATCAGACACCGGCTGTTTTCCAAACTGCTTTTCTGACCGTGTAATTTTAGCACGCACGTCAATAGAAAGGAGAACAAAACCAGAGCTCACCGTGATAAAATTAAAAAGGACAGAGTCCCTCCTGCCCAGCCCCACCCAGCGAGGAGACAGCCCCGCACACCTCCCACGCTGGGGAGCATCCCTTGGGCTGTGAATCACCAGCCCCAGCCCGCCGCGACCCCCGGGCTCCCTCCCTGCTGCCTTTAAAGCCGGGCAGCAGCAGCAGCAGCGTGTGCCAGCACTGCCCTCGGTGTCACCCTGCTGTCACCTGCCTTGGAGCCCAGCAGCAGCGTGTGCCAGCACTGGTGTCACCCTGCTGTCACCTGCCTTGGAGCCAGGCAGCAGCAGCAGCGTGTGCCAGCACTGGTGTCACCCCTCCTGTCACCTCCCTTGCAGCCCTGGGAGAAGGAGGCTGCGGGATGGCCGAGGGGGAGATCAGCACCTTCAGCGCCCTGACCGAGAAGTTCGACCTGCCCGCGGGCAGCTACAAGAAGCCCAAGCTGCTGTACTGCAGCAACGGGGGGCACTTCCTGCGCATCCTGCCCGACGGCACCGTGGATGGCACCCGGGACCGCAGCGACGAGCACAGTGAGCAAAACGGGGCTGGGGGGGCTCCCTGTGCTGGGATTTCATCAGCTGGGAAGGGGCAGCGGGGGAAAACGGGCTCTGGACGAGGTTGGTGTGACAGCACATCTCCCTAGGGCCAAACACATATCCCAGGGGCCAAACATACATCCCAGGGGACAAACACACATCCCAGGGGCCAAACACACATCCCAGGGGACAAACACATATCCCTGGAGCCAAACACACCTCCCTAGAGCCAAACACACCTCCAGGGGCTAAACACACCTCCCTAGAGCCAAACACACCTCCCTGGAGCCAAACACACCTCCAGGGGACAAACACATATCCCAGGGGACAAACACACATCCAGGAGGACAAACACACTTCCCTAGAGCCAAACACACCTCCAAGGGAACCAAACACACATCCCTGGAGCCAAACACACCTCCAGAGGACAAACACACCTCCAAGGGAACCAAACACACCTCACTGGGGCCAAACACACCCACAGCTGGGACCCAGAGCAGGGGAGGTGTGAGGTGTGTGCTGTCCAAGTGCAGATTTGAAGGACAGCAATAGCTATCTCCAGTGTTGAGCCTGGCACTGGCTTCCCCTCATGGCAGACAGACAGACAGACAGACAGACAGACACAGGGACACAGCAGGGCGGGCTCACACAGGGAGCTGGCCCTGGCAGGGGGGCTCAGGGCAGCCTGGCATCCCACACACACAGCAGCACATGGAGCTCTGTGCTGTCCTTGCACTGCCAGCCGTGTGCCACAGCCTTTACTCGGTCACTCCCCCCTTATCTGTCCCCATCCCTGCAGTGAGTGCCCCTGGTGGCTCCAGCCCGTGGTGGGACATCTCTGCTGGGAGGAGCTGCTCCTGCAGACACCACCACTTCTCCCACCGAGGAATCAATGGGAATTTAAGGGGTTTTTTTTGTGCTCTTGCATGACCAAAAACTCTTCAGGGGATTTTTTAACCTGCTGCCCAGGAGAGCTGGGCACACAGCAAAGCTCCTGCAGGGCTCTGTGGGCAGCAGGGATGGGCTCTGCCCCTGCTCTTGGCAGCAGCCTCTGGGTTCATATCCTGGACATTTACTGGAACGACACCAGGCCCTGCCAGGCTCCTATCTCGTTAGAAGGAAGGGCTGGGAGGAGCCAAGCCAGCCTTACAAAGTGCTAAGAAAAGCACTTTTATTTTCTTTAAACCACAAGCACACGTGTGGCTTCTCCCCCAAACTTAACCTTTCCTGTGGCTATTGTTGTGTTACTGACAGGCAGTTTAGAGCTGAGTTTTAGTTACAAACACTGTCTCCCCAGCACGAGGCAGTGCTGGGGGATGGATGAAGATGGGCTCCCTGAGGCTGGACAAACACAGCGTGCAGCTCCAGCCTGGAATAAACCCAGCAACTAACCCTCAAACCCCTGGAAAGGCTGGATGATCCCAGAGATCTGCAAGAGACAGGGCTGGGCTCACAGACACACCAAGGAGAGGTGGTATGAGCTCAGGCAGTGTCTCTGCAGCATTTTCCAGAGCTTTTGCTGGAGTCAGAAGGAGAGGTCAGGGTGAAGATGGCATCTCCTGGGACGTGGGGAGGCACCAAGGCCATGAGCCCACTCGGTGCCCTGGCCCAGGCTGTTGCCTCACAGCATGGATGCTGTCACACAGCACAGCTCTTTTCCCTCTGGAAAAGCAGATGCATCCCCTTGGAGAGGCCGCCAGGGCTGCACTGTGCCCGTGAGCAGGGAGGGCAGGCAGCCCTGCATCCCAGCACGCTCACACCTCCCTGCCTGCTGGCCCACGGCCACGTGTTTGCAATCCTGTGCCAGAAAGGAGCCTCCTGTAAATGATCTCATGAACTGGGATACAGGAACACACTAATATTTACAGAGGAAACTCCTGGAAGGGCTGAGGGCCAGCAGAGCAGCCTTGGGGAGAGGTACCTGGCTCTGAGCACCCACGGTCCTGCCCCTGCACCTTGGACACGATGGAGCTGCTCAGCATCATTCCCTGGTGTGCAGGAGGAGCAGCCCAGACATGGCTGGCACTGTGGGGCATTGTCACCCAGCTGGGACAGGCACCTGCCAGCCCCAGGGAGGGACAAGGCACAGGAACACCCAGGGTTTATTGGGAGGCCAGAGGGCACAGCAGCGTTCCAGCCGCACCTGGGCCGTGCCCTGCAAACTGCCCACGTGCATTTTGTTCCAGACGAATGCCAAGAATTCTTATTTTTCTCTCAAATGGCCTCAGAATCAGGGAGGATCTCTAAGAAGAGCAGAAGGAGTCGCTCTCTCTAGGCCTTTGTTGTGCAGCCCCACATCAGGATCCACTTCCCATGTCCTTTACGTGGGCATTCCAAGCTTGCACCAAGGAATGGAAAGAAATCTTACCTGGACTCTGCAGATTCTCCAGGATGAAGCTCATGCTCATCTCTACAAAAAGTCTCCTTTTCCTGCTTTCATGCCATTACTTCATGGAAGGAAATCTCTGTACAGACCTGGAAGAGAACCTGAAAGAATTTAGTGCACAAGCTCCTTCCTCTGGACTCACTGTTCTCACTCCCTCTGTGGTCAAAAACCTCAACATCCCATTGGCAGCAGGAGGGTTCCTCACTCCCCTCTCTCAGGAGCAGTTTTTAGAGCAGTGTCATCGTTTTCATCCCATTTCCCTCCTTTCTGCCTGGCCTGCTCCTTGGCCAGGTCCCAGCTCTGCAGCACCTCAGGGAATGCAGGTGGGCTGGGGTTTTCCCAGGGCACATTCCCAGCCTAAACCAGGCATGACAGGGGCCAAGTATTCCTGCAAACCTGCACCCACACTGCTTCCTAATTAATATCATTTACTGAGCAGGAAATGCCAAAAATGAAGAATGTGAACCATTACAGCAAAGATTTCACTGCAATGGGTGTTCCACCAGGCCAAGAGGTAACACTGCCTTTTACCTCATCTAAATAAGGATAAATAAATTAAATATAAACAGGAAGGAAGGAGCTGGAGCCGAGACATCCGTTCATACTTCATTCCAACCAACCTAAATATTGCTGTTATAAATCTTAGGGAAAGAAGCTGCCTACGAGATGGGAAGGATCACTGGGAAGAGCTGGAATTTGCAAGTCACTGTGACTGCAGCCACAGCCTTCTCTATTTCCCCACTCTCCAACGCTCTGGATAAATCCAGCTGGAGCAGACAGCTGGGTGGGATGCTTTGGATCAGGGGGTTGCAGTGCAGGCATCTGCAGTCTGCCCATCCCTGGCTTAGCTCTCAAAATACTCCTTCATGTGTCACTCCTTAAGTGTCTTGTCAAACCACATGAGAAATTTGTAAATTAGAGCCAGAATTAAAACCCCAATCTCCTGTGTCCCATTCCAGCATCGTAACCAAAAGGCTGCCCTTCTTTTGATGTAAAATAAGGGGAAAATTGGTCTTTGGTTCCTAAAGGATGGCTGTGGGATTTCTTTGAAGAAGAGGGTACAAGGAGACACTTTTATTACACACTGTACTGTTTCCTATAAACTCTTTATAAGCCAGACTTCAACAAAATACCCCACTAAACTTCCTGGCAGCTCTTTTTTGTCCGCTTTTCCTATTTTCCTCTCACTGTTGTTTTGCTGTTCCTCCAGTCCAGCTGCAGCTGAGTGCAGAGAGCGTGGGCGTGGTGCACATCAGGAGCACCCAGTCGGGGCAGTACCTGGCCATGGACACCAAGGGGCTGCTCTACGGCTCGGTAGGTGTGGGGATCCCTGGGGCAGGGCTGCAGACATCCCACAGCTGGCTGATGCAAACCACAGGCAAGAGCTGGGCTCTGTTTGTGATTCTGGCAGCTGCACGGCCACTCTGCATCTGGCTTTATTTTGGGGGGACATAAATAAATTAGCAAATAATGCTGTTTACTGCCCTGCTTCTGGACAAATATTGTATTTCCTATCTGACACTTGATAAATTTCGTGTTTCATACCTGGAGCAGCAGCTGCTCTGCAGCCCCTCAGCAGCTGCCACCCAGTGCAGGTGTCCCTGCCCATGGCTAAGGGCTGGAGCTCAGGGGTCTTTAAGGTCTCTTCCAACCCAAACTGTTCTGGTTCTGTGCTCTGAGCCTGCAGCTGCTACCACAGGGCCAGAGCAGGAGCCAGGGCCAGGAGCAGCTTATGGAGCATGGGGCTGATTTAAAGTGCCAATTAAAATTCCCAGGTTACAGACACCTTGCTACAGGAGTGGTCCAGGGGAGTAAATCGAGGCCACCTACCCCACAATTTAAATAAGAGCTTTAGTGGGGTGTGGAAATCTCAGAGGTGGGTCAGGATGGCATCTCAGAGGGGAGAGCTGGGCCGGGATTGTCACGTCAGGAGCATCCCTGGCTCACTGTCCTTCCCCCGGGCTCTCTTGCAGCAGTTACTGGGTGAGGAGTGTCTGTTCCTGGAAAGGCTCGAGGAGAACCATTACAACACCTACGTCTCCAAAATGCACGCGGACAAGAACTGGTTTGTGGGGCTGAAGAAGAACGGGAACAGCAAGCTGGGCCCGCGGACTCACTACGGCCAGAAGGCGATCCTCTTCCTGCCCCTGCCCGTCTCTGCTGACTGACACCTGGCCCCAAAGCTCAGAGACAGCCCCAAACCCCAAACCCAGCTGCTGCTGCTGCCTCCTTGAGCTCAGCAGAGCTCCCAGCTTTAGGTCAAGGCTTTGCCAATCTGCCAAAGCAGAGCCCCTGTGCTCTGCACCAAGCTTTGCAGAGATGAGGGGACGAGCCCTGGCACCATCCTGAGGTCCATGGGGCTCCATCTCCCCCTGCCCTCAGCTGTGTGTGCCATGTGTGCCATGACCCTCAGCTGTGTGTGCCATGTGTGCCATGACCCTCAGCCGTGTGTGCCATGACCCTCAGCTGTGTGTGCCATGTGTGCCATGACCCTCAGCCATGTGCCATGTGTGCCATGACCCTCAGCTGTGTGTACCATATGTGCCATGACCCTCAACCGTGTGTGCCATGACCCTCAGCCATGTGTGCCATGACCCTCAGCTGTGTGTGCCATGTGTGCCATGACCCTCAGCCGTGTGTGCCATGACCCTCAGCTGTGTGTGCCATGTGTGCCATGACCCTCAGCCGTGTGTGCCATGACCCTCAGCTGTGTGTGCCATGTGTGCCATGACCATCAGCTGTGTGTGCCATGTGTGCTATGACCCTCAGCTGTGTGTGCCATGACCCTCAGCCGTGTGCCATGTGTGCCATGACCCCACTGCAGCTCCCAGGACCTGTCCTGGGCAGGCACCCAGAGATGTGCCCGAGGTTCCCAGAGAAGTGCACACTTTGTGTCCCCAGGCATCCTAAGGCAAAGCCTCCCTGGCTGCTGTGTGTTACTATATTTGTCCATCCAGGTGTGTAGCTTCTGACATGCCCTCGAGCAGTTCCAGGTTGCACCATCAGTGCTGTTATCCAGGGCCAGCCTGGTAAGTGCCAGCTGGGCATGCTAAGCTGAGCTAGGCAAAGCTCCAGCCCCAGACCTTGGCGTCCCTCACAACATCAATAGTGTGTATTTCATGCTAGTACCTGCCATATGTTATTTGTATTTATTTATTAAGTAAATATGTCTCTTCTACAAGCTGTTCATAAGTCATTCCAGGCACCTCAAGGCTGTCCCAGTGAGGATGGGGCAGTGGCAGTGACTGGTGTGAGGGTGTGAAGTACCACAGCAAGGGGCTGCACCAGGGGCAGAGCATCGCGCCCATTCCCAGAGGATTCCTCCCACTGCCTCCATGTCTGGTCAAATGGGGCTCTAAAAATGGCAGTGAGGCCCCTTGGTGGCTCCCAAACCCCCTGTGAAGCTGATTTCTCCACTGCTGGCACAATGCACATCTCCCAGGCAGCTCAAGGGCAGCTCAAGAGCCACTCCTGCCAGCTGAGAACATCACCAGAGCACCACCCAGAGCATCCACAGCTCCTCTGGAAAACCTGAGCCAGGGCCTCACCACCCTCACAAGGAGGAATTTCTCTTTAATATCAATTCTAAATCTACCATCCTTCATCTTAAAGCATTTCCCCCTTGTCCTATCCTGCCATCGACAGGGACAAGACAGAAGTGCTCCCTGCTCCCAGCAAACCTGATCAGCCATCCCACATGGAGGAAGGAATAAAAGGCTGCCTTGCATATTTCTGCAGCAGCAATTAGCCACTAATTGCTGGGCTTTACAATTGCTCAGCTAATTACTGCACTCCTGAACTTCTGCACTTGCTGCACAAACCTTTTCCCTAGCACTGATAGCATCTCTGTAATCCCAGGGCTGCCAGGCTTAGGGAGCTGGCACGGGAGTGGTGGAGCCATAGCTGGGAAGGAGCATGTGCCAGGTCCTTGCACCCTCCCACCTGTGGGATCCACAAGGAAATAGAGGGGAAATAGAGGGGAATAGAGGGGAAAGGTGGATTCTGCGAATCCTGCAGGTCCCAGCTGCTCCTCCTGGCCAAGAGAGGCACCCAGCCCCTGCCTGGCTCGGCTGCTCTGGTGGGCACAGCGTGATATTCCCATGGCAAACACAAAGCTGGGCAAGACAGGGGGATGAGGACAGCCAACAACACCCACACTTCTTAAACACAGCAGTCACCTTCCCTGTGAGAGGCTGGGCTGTCACTCAACTCAAAAAAGTGAATTAATGCATGAGCAGGAGATCCAGGTTTCTAATTAAACTGGAAAGTTGGACCGTGTAATGCTGGATTTAGCTGTGCTGTCTCGCAACACCTCATTAACCCAGGGCACTCTCGTTAGGCTTGTGCTGCTCCGAAACCGCCCCCGCAGGTACGGCTTGACACCCAGCTGGGGAAAAATGTCAACACCTGGTCTGGAAAATAATCCCCGGGGAAGCCACAGTAATTGCTTCAGACAGATGGACAAGCCAGCATTGCCCAGAGAAACCACGCTCACCTCGGGGTGTTTGTCCTTAGCGTGAGAGGCGAAAAAGGAGAGTTATAGGATTTAATAAAACCATTACACGTGAATATCCCTCCCGGTAAGTGCTGCGAGCCCGAGTGTGCTGTGAGAGGGTTGCTGGGCAGGCCCGGGCTGCATCGCGCAAAAAAAGAAAATAAATCAACCCAGGCCCACATGCTGAGCACACGGGAACGCGCGTCCCCTCCGGGATGCCCGGGAGGCACCGAGGAATAAAGAAAATAAACAAACATCCCCGCAGGCTGCCGCGGGAGCCGCCGCACGCCCGGGAGGTGGCGGTGCCGAGGCGCCGGAGCTCGGGCAGCGGGGAGCGGGGAGCGGGAGCGGGAGCGGCATCCCCGGCGGAGCTCGGGCATCGCCTCCGGCAGAGCTCGGGCATCGCCGGCGGAGCTCGGGCATCGCCTCCGGGGCTCGGGCATCGCCTCCGGGGCTCCGGCATCGCCTCCGGGGCTCCGGCATCGCCTCCGGGGCTCGGGCATCGCCTCCGGGGCTCGGGCATCGCCTCCGGGGCTCGGGCATCCCCGGCGGAGCTCGGGCATCGCCTCCGGGGCTCGGGCATCCCGGCAGAGCTCGGGCATCGCCTCCGGGGCTCGGGCATACCCGGCGGAGCTCGGGCATCGCCTCCGGGGCTCGGGCATCCCGACAGAGCTCGGGCATCCCCTCCGGGGCTCGGGCATCCCCGGCGGAGCTCGGGCATCGCCTCCGGGGCTCGGGCATCCCCGGCCGAGCTCGGGCATCGCCTCTGGGGCTCGGGCATCCCCTCCGGGGCTCGGGCATCGCCTCCGGGGCTCGGGCATCCCCGGCGGAGCTCGGGCATCGCCTCCGGGGCTCGGGCATCGCCTCCAGGGCTCGGGCATCGCCTCTGGGGCTCGGGCATCGCCTCCGGGGCTCGGGCATCGCCTCCGCGGCTCGGGCATCGCCTCCGGAGCTCGGTCAGACGGCAGCGGGAGCGGCATCCCCGGCTCCGCCGCTGCCAGCGGGCGCACACGGCAGCGCCAACATCTGGCTCAGCATCTGGAGCGCGAATGGAGCGAGAGGAGCCGGAGCTGCCGCTGCTGCGCCCAGCCCGGGGAGCCCCGCGTGCGGCCGGGGCTGCGGGACCCCCGTGGGGGACAGGAGAGGGGGAGCAGGGACACGGTTCCCCAAAAGCGCTCATCCCACAACGTGGCCTCTCCTTCCTCTTCCTCTCAACCCGTGGCTGCTTTGCCCATGAGACAGAGCTCGGCCCCAAGAGCCAAACCAGCCCGAGGAGGGAGCCTGGAATGGTCTGTCATTAAAGTCTGGGAAGTGATGGGAATCCAAGCAAAAGGAAAGCTTGGGTTTCTGCTGCTTTCCTGTGGTTGGCATGTTGGGAAGGCTGCCGGAGGACACACACAGGATGGGAGCTCTGGGACACAGCGGTGGCCACCGCAATCTCGGGCAGCATCGGCCCCTCAGGGGCTGCAGCAAGGACTCAGGAAGGGCCCCAGCCCCAGCCTGGCCCCTGGTGATGCCATCCCTGCAGCTCTCCCTGGCACTGGGCTGTCTCCCCTCCACACACCCTCCCCCAGCGCCCTCCACTGCACCTCAGAGCTCCCTCCCCACTGGCCCGAGCTTCTGCCAAACCATTCTGGGATGTCCTGACTGAGAGAGGCTCTTGGGACAGCACATCTATTCCCCTTTGTACCCTGTCTCCACTTTTAGAGCCAGTATCTGAAGAACTCCCGAGCTGAGGACGGAGCTGGGGTAAACCTCTGTCCAGAGTAGCAGAACGGTGTAAATCTGTTGGTTAAAGAGGAGTGATTTCCGTGAGGAAGGTCCCATTGGGAAGAATGGAGGGATTTGCTGAGCAGAGCCTGCCAAACCTCTGCCCCACAGCATCACCACGGTTCTTGCAGGTTGGGCTCTGCCTCAGCACGTGCAGCAATTTGTTCTGGCTAGTGAGGGTGGCCTGTGGCAAGTGCTAATCCCAGCTCCGGGGTCGAGCCCCTCAGGAGAGGGGAGAGGCCCCCCCTGGCAGCCCTGGCTCCTCCCCAGACGCTGAGCATCCCAAAGCAGCAGCTTTGAGTAATCCCCACACAAAGAGGTGGTCACTGCTAATGGGTTTACCTGCTTAATTCTCCCTGGCCCTTCCTGCCTCTCAGGGTTTTCCCTTCCCACTGGCTCGGTGCTGCAGGAAACTCTGCTTCCCACATTAAGCAGATTGTCTGCAGCAGCACAGGCAAATGCATTTACCCTGCAGAATTCCCCGGCCGTGACACGGCGGCGTTTCCAGGATATGAATCCTCCGTCCCTCACATCCTTCCCTGCCCTGCTTCCTGAGCCATGGCACATTTATCAATGCATCACCCGAGGCACGGGGCACCTTCAGCCCCTGGCTCCCCAAGCACTTCCCCTGGCACCATCTGCTGTCACCCCAGCTGCCCAGAGGGGCCCTGATGCTCGTGGTGACCACCAAACCATCTCCCACCCTCTGCCAGGGCTCATCCCTGCCCAGCACAGCCCCACAGCAGAGGGTCCTGGGGGTGGGTACACTCGGGACAAGCTCAAACACTCCCCACTACCCCAAATGTACTGCTTTCTGCAGAAATTATCCCAACATGGGTTTCCTCCTCCTGCAGGAGGGAAAGTGGGAAGGACATTCACACCCGCATGTGCCACAAGCTCAATTAAAAATGGTTTCTAAGCTCAGACTAGCAAATGTTGGCCTAATATGAAGAGGATGGGCTCTGTCACAGATAGGCAGGACTCTGGGCAGGAGAATAATTTCCAGGCACAGCCATTGCAGTTACAGCTTGATAACTCAGGCTGCAAGGTTTGTGCTCCTTGGAGAGTAAGGCCTCAAGCTCAGGTCCAAGCCCTGCTCTCCAAGGACAGCCCCAGCTTTCCAAAGCAAATCCAAGCACAACTCAAAGCCATCAGAATCTAATTGCTGCTCACTCAAGCACATCCCCCTTGTCACTGAGCATGGAAATTCAATATGTGGGAAGAACTTGCCATAAAAAAATGAAATTCTGTTTATTTTCTTAGCAGGA